ACACTAAGTTTATGACAACGCCATTACCTTTACGTTAACACTATACTTCAGAACTAATTTTTCTATCAAAATTTAGGGCTTGGATAACTTTTTATAAAAACTGGAAGCTATTACTAATATCAAAAGGGCCTATAGAATGAGCAGCAAATTTATATCGAAATGCCTAATTAATGAAATGACATTTAAGGACATAAATACCCGATGACTGACTGATACAAGGCATCTAGATTACTATATATTTATTCACAAAACCATCAAGACATAATATACAATCTAATGTAAAATAGTCACAATCATATATTAAAGTACAAGATGTGTACAGTATATACTATCTCATAATCTAAATAAAATTATGTCACTAAACATCATTAATTACTCTAAGAGAATATAGCACCTTGAAATTACAATATTAAGATTAGGTATTCTTTTATTACGAACTCACGCACTGTAGTAACTAGGTTTATCGAACAGAACTTGTAAATATTACTGTTAATGCTATATTAGATTCAGTAGCATAAATGTAAATCTTTCAGAAAGTTTCATTTTTGAATATTGATACTATTAAATAGTAAGCAAGTGATAATAGGGCATCATCAAGCAAAAGTTACGCTTAGAGAGGGACGGCAGTAAAAATTCAATGCTATTTCCCAATAATATTCTTGATCATATTCTTAGACGAGGCAGTAAAGATACGTAGGGTAGGTTACTTAGCGATAGACATTCAGAAAGAATACTTCGGTAATAGTAAATTATATTGGATCATTTAGTCTTGGCAACGCTTATAATCCTCAATATGGCATTAGATATAGAGAAAGTGAGATGAAAAATTGCGACAGATATTGATTTTATACAATCAATTGCGCCTTATTGATATACATCATTTTAGATATAAAAGTATTGAGGAATAATCTATCAATATGCTTAGAATTAGTCTAAGAGATTAATTTCTGGTCACCATAGTTACTTATAGAGTAGGCAAATTTATTGTAAGGTTTTACTTCACACATTCGTTAAATTTTACTCGTCAAACATTTCTTAAATACTAGTATATAATGCAGTACATTTAAACTTATAATATAATCGTTACAGGTTTAAATATCAAATTCACTGAATTATTAAAAAGAAATATTAACAACATTATGGTACAAAATATAGCAATATATTTGTCACGGTACGAACTACCGTGAAGAAATAGATATCTAAATTTGGTTAATATAATATAGTGATATTATATTACAACTAGTTACTTACAATAGGGATTACTCTAATTGTAAATGTATTACAGTAAATTTAATGCTGCGCTGTAATGTGTACTGAAATGATTCTGTGAATGGACATATTGTAGTCCGACTGTGAAAAATTAGTTAGTAGATGTTCTCACCTAAGTATTTTTATAAGATGACTTGTGAATGTTAGCTGCTGTAGAAGGGTATATAAGCCCGTTAGATAGTTGAATAAAACAGTTCTCAATTGTCTAGTTGAGTTTAACGTAGAATCAAAGGCGTCTAAATTCTTGTGAGTAGGGATACTGAATCCCGGAGACTATAGTAATTTAGAGATTTGTTTTACGTTATCCTTGTCACGAAGCTGGTTTGTGACAATGTTATACTCCATGCAGCCGAATTTTGTGCCATAGTGTATAATTGATGTAAACTGAACTAAAAATTCACGAAAGACTTTCTAATTTCACTATCAATATCTTATTAAATAGATAAGATTCTTGTAACTTGTCAGGATTACAATGGAGAATAATGTAGTCTGTTTTCATTCGAAATTTTACATGCAAACTTCAACTATAAAAATTATTGTTAAGTTGTAATTACTTCAGTTTCATAATACTTATTGTGGTTATAAGATGGATGTTTTCCAAAGTAAATTCATTTATGCAATTTTTTTCAGCCCTGTAAAATAGCGATGTATAGTATTAGCTATTAGGGATTTTGTTGATGGCAAATAATTTATTAGTATGTAAACATTGTCAAGGTACGGCTAATGAGCTTTCTAAATACCGTAAATATTAGTTATGGCTCCGCTGACGTTAATATCAGCTATTATCATCATTATTGTATAAGCTAATAGAATAATTAAATGTTGAGTAAATCTGATTCATCTATCAGCTATAATTAAAATTGTATTTACTGACCTAGTATCTACTGAACAGTATTTTATTATACAACTTTGCTGTGATTTTAGGAATTTTAGATATAATAATCTTTTGTTTAGAAAAATACTGTATGAAACGATGCATGTTATCCGTCTAATTTATTTGTATAGGTTATGATAAACAATACCGAAATCTGCTTTAAACCGTATCTACGTTCCGGGAGACGATATGACGTATACATGCCGATATTGTTAATTTTTGCTTTATTGATTCATTTCAAACTTTCTTAATGTAAAAGGAATTGAATAACCGTTTTTTAGAATTTGCTTGTATTATAATTTAGCAATTAATTATTGTATGTACATTTTAAATATGTTTTTGAGAGATGAATAGACATCTTTGATTGGTTATGATGCAGATGAGTATGGTACATCTGTCTAATTGATAGTCATCAGTTACATGATTTATTCGATCAGTAAAACACCCTATGGTCTTCAATTTAAATTGTAATTTTTTATACAGTTGTAATTGAAGTGATTCATGCTGTCTCACTTTATTTTTATTAGTACACATACAGCAAGATTGTATGTTGCTTGATATTTACTGATTAGTTCGGAGATAATAGTTAGAAAGAGGGTTATATATGCAACAAACTAAAGGAAACAGATCTATAGATAAAAAAGGTGTAGGAATCTCTATATTTATATTATTTTGTTAAGTAAACGGTTACAAAATATAGGTACTAAATAACCTCTATAGCGTTGTCATTCATAAAAGTATTATGGAAATCATGAAAAATTATAAAGAAAATGAGTACTATAATTCCCTTACAGGCCCATATTATGCTATTTTTTCTATCGAATTTCAATTCTTCAACCAATTTATTACTTGGGATTAATAGTTTTTTTTCAATAATTTATTTAAATATATTATTGAAAGTTTATGAAATTCAATCGCAAATAGGAGCTATTGCAATTAATAAACGGTACAGACTAACATTGGACAGGCATAAGAGCTGATCGGATATTAGAAATGTATCATAGAAAGAGGTTATAAATAATTGCTATTGTTACAGAATTATTAACAAGCTCTTCATAATTTATCAATTTCATTGATGTTATTTTTTTTAATCGCCTGAATATATAAACAAATCTGTATCGCTCCTCAAGTTACGTGCGCGCCTGTGTTATACTAATCGAAATACCTTTAAGGGCTAAAACTAAAATAATAATTGAAAGAGTACAAATTTGAATTAATTTGAATATTTACGAGCGTAAGCGGTCGATATTAAATGAGAAAAATCTTTAATGGATACAGTGTCTAAGAGAAAGAGTAATTATGAATAAATAATTATGACCATTTTCATCAATACATCAGTTGAACTATATCGTCTGTTATCTATTACCATTTTTATCCAATCCCGTCTAATGGAATAATATTGTTACGATTTTATTCATCAGCTTTTATTTTCTTTGACTACTGTTAATTATTTCCTGTGCGTCAAGATTGATATATCATTTGTGTCGTACATAACAATCAATCATGAATTTTCTAAAATTTACACTTTTGATTTTTTATTCTTGAGTTTACGAATGTGATCGTTTCGACATAACTTTATCCTACTGTTATACACATATTTTCCATTTTATGACTTGTTATAGCATAATAAGTTTGCAATTTAGTATATGTCTTACTGTACCTTTTAAAACTAAGTGTTAGAAAAGCCATTCTCATCAAGAACAATCAGTAACTACATAAACTATTAGAGAATCTAGAAGCTAAATGGATGAATTCAAGCCAACAAAATTTCATTATTCTTGTAATTGTCATACCACGGTGGACGGTGCATTGATAGTATGTATTAAACTTGATTTAATTTTGATATAAAGAAGAATTACGCGATTATAATTTATTTACTCTTAGCGACATCCAATGAGGTATTCGAGATCGATTTGCATTAAGAAAATCTTAATTTTTTATTAGCATAGTACAGAAGATGTCCTACTACCTGCACGCAGATCCTAATAAAGACATGTCAGTGAACAGGAATGAAGGGGTAGCATCGAATTACAGTACGCTAATATCGTATTGCGCACAGAAAATAATTACTACGGATACGGTACGTTATGTTCGTGATAATCGGTAGTAGGTTTAGTTGAAAATCGTTTATTGATCAATCAGAATCGTGTATTTATATATTTCCGAATTACTTTACATGTGGTACAATTAATGTGTGTTTTAACACGTTTAAGTAGCAATATCTATATTTAATACAAAATGCACTAAAATTATAGCAAACCTATTAATGGAAGTAACTTCACAATCTAAGTATTCTATACCGTAAATCCTAATAAGCAAATACTGTACTACATCTACATATAACAGGGTATTATGTGAAAATTGGCCTTACCAGAGCTTGAACTACGTTACTGCCATTATATGAAATGTATTGAAAATTGAAAAGAAGCAATCTTATTGTTTTGATTGAGTTGATAATTAAGATATTTTCAGATTAGGGACTAGGCGTACAGTATATTCAACTGTATGTGATGTTCTTAGCTGCTAAATAGGCATAAAAGAACACATTGCACAATAAATTTTTTCCATTTGGTCATTATTGTGCGCTCTTAATATTTGTAATTGATTGATGTATAGGCTTGCTTAATTCTTGTACTTTAAAATAAATATTTACAAATTAAAATAATTAGATCAGACGACAGTGTATTAGAGGGTGTACTCCTTCTGAAATAAAAATAGTGACATTTAGGTATCTGATTCATTTCCAATTTCATATGGATGTTGACAAATAGTATTACTCTAATACAAGTAAATCGTCAATTATTCTGCATAGTTAGTTAGTATTGCAACTTTTTTTCTATCTTGGTAGAAAGACCAGATGGATATCATTTTGGTAAGCATATGGTAGAATACTATATTAATGTCTGTATTTCATTTAAATTTTACAACAAGAATGCCTGCTACTGCATACCGGTATATGGTTAGAATATAACTGTATTCATGTCTGCTTACTGTACTTCTCAATTCTATTTTGATATAATTTTTTACCCAATGGGTACACCTGTCCCTGCTCTTCAATTATATGCATTTATAACGCGCATAATTGTAGCTTGTGAACTTTAATGCTTCTGCCTAGTCTCTATGTTATGGTCATCCCTAAGAGCGATTTTGTAGTTCAGGGGCTTTAGTTCAACGTTCAAGGGAAACATTATTTTTCGCTAGCAGGTTTCCATTATATCCAATTAAATGCAATTTAACTTCGAGACTGATACGACTTTGATTCAGTTTTCTGCCTTGGATTTTTGTTTCTCATAGTTTGTATTTCTGTCTTTGTATTTACTGTCAATTGTTATCGTGTACTACCTTACAGTATACCAAAGAAGAAATATTAGACTACAAATTACTCATAATTTTTATCTGACAAGAACGTTCATGAGATCATATACAAAGGAGTGAAAATGTCATAAATGACAGCTAGCAACCTTCTATACTATTATCTCAATTTTATGTAGTCTTAAATATATTACATTCTGTATAAACCTATGCTTTTTTCTAATCGATTAGGTAGTTTTGATTTAAATCTGATAATACTAATCATAGTAATATACAATTTTCGTGTAGACTTTCAAGTAAATTTTTAGTAAAATTTTAATTTTTGCCAAGTTCTTTAAGTAAGCTAATTTATCTTAACTAAAACTGTAATGGCAGTAGCATAATATCATTTTTACAGTATTCATCTCTGTTATTCCATGAATGCACAAAGAAATAATTATAACGGATACAACAATGACCTGAAATTATAAGATGAAATTAGTAATGATTGATAGTAGTTTCTCTTTTATTATAGGAATTAAAATCTTTATTTAATCTATTTTTAGATCCTTTGTATAGCATTACGCGTCGTCATTGCTCAAGGTTTGTTAAAATATTGAACGATAAATAATATAAATAATTTATGCCTTGGATTGAATATAGAAATAACTGATAGATTTGCTGCCTAAGAACGTGATTAGTTTAATCGTAAAATAATTTGTCTATTTGCTGGAAGTAACGAGTTCGTGACTAATCGGTAGTAAATTAATGAATTTAATCAACGATAACAATGATTTTAACAAAAACCATTATATTATGGAATTTAAATATTGAATGAAAGGAAAAATTTTCTCAGAAAATGCTTATTAATTGGAAAAGATATTTGAAAATTTTACATTTTGTCATAATTTTAACTGTGACGATACTAATGTTGGTAGCAAGCAACGCTTTAGCATCGAATTAGATTAAAAAGAGGAATTTACTTAAACATCTTCAGGTGTTTATGGCCGTATGTCGTTACGCCTAAAATATTTCTGCAATATAGATGATATTCAAAAGCAAGTTTGAAGTAATGATGATAAAATCCAAGATCATATTTATGACCTTTTTGTTATTATCGCAGTTTTAAAACTTAAAAAAAAAAATATAGTAGGAAGGGTATCAAACAATTCCAGTACGGCTGTTTCAGTTAAATATCTAATTGTGTAGGATATTAATGCATTTGCGTCTACCTCAGTTTTACCTGCAAGACTGAACTGTAATTATTTCGCATATCTACAGAAGGAAGTTGATAATTTCGAAAGAAATGTATAATGCTCTAGCTATACCCATATTTGCTGCTGTAAAATTTAATTGGATATTAAGAAGTTCAACGTTGAAAAAGCAATTTATTAGTACTACAAGCTTATACTTTCCAACTACTTTGTCCGGATCTTTAATATATCACTTATTTTAATGCAGGACTACAGTATATGAGAAAATTTTAGCTAAAGAGTTAATTCTTGATTAAACAGAGGAATGTGCTGATGGATGGACGGAAATAAGTAATCGATGCTTTAAATCTTTCTCGGACGTTGAATCGTTCGAAGATGCTCGAATCGCTTGTCAGCAATTTCCTAGCGGCGATTTAGCAGTCGACGATACCACTGCAATTCATGATAACCTAAAGGGAATACTACAATTTACAGGACGTTACTGGATTGGACTAAGTGACATAGCAGGAAACAACCAGATCGAGGATTATCATTGGTTGGCAACCAATGAAAGTGTAATCAATGGTGAACAGTTTTGGTTGAAGGGTTATCCAAAGCGGACGAGTGATAGATGCGTTTCTGCTAGAAGTTTGCCATCAAATAAGTTTGACTGGATTAATAATAACTGCAGCGATGCTTGTAGATACATTTGTCAAAGGCCGATTGGCGTAGTGTCTTCTTATTCAGTAAGCTCCGATGATTCCTCAAGCGAGTTACATCCTTCAGTAGCGATATCAACTTTATCTTATGACGCTACCATTTCGACGGCAACAACCACTGCGATCAATGAGATGGGTGTTTCAAACGCAAGCATCAATTCAAATACATATGAGAATTCATTTATATCATCCTCTTCATCAGCTAGTTTTGTCAATAATATTATAGCCATACCGATGAGTAAATCACAGTTGTTAACATCTGGTAGTAGTTTGGATTTTATATTTAGTTCGACGCAGTCTGAGGGTATTTTAGAATCATCTTGCACTATTACAAATAATGATAATTCTGATATTTTAACACTAAATATGACAAACCAGGCGGAATTAACGGCGTCGACTCCTAACGAATCACACATTTACTCAGGTATCACTAAAATCTATTAGCTGCAATAGTTGTTGGTAGAATTAGCCGTATACTCATTTATTCTAGGCGTTGTTTCAAGTTTTGTTCATGATTTATGATCAAATTCCTTGTAACTAGGTCCTATCTCCATTGCTAGTACAAGTATATCGGATGTAGAAAAAGTTACAAACCATCATCAGCGGTCATCATCCAATTTAATAGTATATGCCATCCCAAGTTTTATTTCCGCAACTAATACAACTTATATTGAGGCATCCACTTTTATAACTTCAATGATGAACAGTCACTTCGGTCCACTAGTTCCAGTCATAATCTTACTTTAATTAAGCAAGAAAATCCATCTATATTGCCAGTAAGCGGTATGTGTGATTCAGTATTTAAATTTTGTATCATATTTAATAAGAATGCACTTTTAATGAAGTATGATCATCATGAACTAATTTTACGACGTTATATGTAGCTAATATAGAAGATAACTTGTTGCTGTAAATTTGACAACTCGAGTAAAACTTTGATATTATTTTATTTTGCAATAGTGGCTAATGCATACTTCTTCATTCACGTAGAGTACAGGAAAACCAGTGATGTTTACGGATATTTTCCCAGCCGTACATCTGTAGACTTGCTTTATTATTCAGATACTCTTTTATCACCAGCGATGCAGCCGTCAGTATATTCTAGCAGGTTTTCTTCAGGTATCATTAGACGTAATATAAAGTCTGCTGTCCTCTAGCGATATACCTATGTACTCATTCTATTATTGGACGCCTTTCCAATAACAGTAATACAGTAATTAGAATATTCTAGTGACTCTTTTGTAATTATATAGTATTGCAGTGCAGCCTTAAATAAGTTCAAGATTAAGATTATAGGATAACAAGAAAATAGATAAATACGCTAGATTACAAGATTACATAAGTGTCTAATTGTGGATAATATTTGCAGTACGAACTGTAATAATTGTTTTGGGATGCTTATATTAAGATTCTGAAATAATAATATAGTAGATTGCACTTATTTTGTTAGTACTGTGAGATTTGTATTGAGACGCTTTAATTATAATCGCGAATGATGAATTGATAGCGCGATAGTAAACTTAGATATGATCTTGTAATTAAATTGGTATGACATGATTGTATATGAAGAAAAATCACGGTGTAACTAATTGTATATAAATCGTGAATATTGCTGCAATAATTCAGATAGTCCAGAGATATTCTGATTGCAGTGAGATAGTCCTCGGTAGTTGTAGGACGAACCTAATCTTATATAATAAGAAGAAGTTTATTAGAAACTGTGGTTCTTGTTAAATTTATTGAGAAGACGCTTCATTACAAGTATAATATGACAGAAAGATCTATCGTACCGTAAAATAACTAGTAATCTTGCAGAACTAATTTAATGGATTTATTAATTTTTCTAATGAAATATAAACTAATAAGTTCATATTTACAGAATGTATTGTTCCAACGAAATATCGTACGAGTTATATATTACGCTGATCGAAAGCATAACTATAAATTTTATAAAGACCCTGTCACTTTACGATTCTTATTTATATTATAAATATTGTCTTTTACGTCAGTTACCGCAAGCCCTACACTCAATCCGTCTCCTTCATTGAATAATGGAAACTCTATTGCGTCTGATTTCATGACAAATGATAAGGTTAATAGCAGGGATAGCATATTAAATATTCTGCTTTTAATTTTAAAAGTAATATGGTATGCTATCTGCAAGAAATGGTATCTCTATGGTTTTTGAATGTTACTTTCTTAGATAGGACGCTCAGCTTATTGTTTTTAAAGCTAATAATTAACTCTTGTGCTAGGTTAATAACTCATAGCTATTTAAATTTATTAATAAGGCATTTGTGATTAAATTCAGACATGCTATTGATTAGTACTGTACTATTATGGGCTTAAGGTGTAAATCCTCTTGTAAGGATGTAACAATTGTATCCATAATGACGAATTCGTTAGTATAAGCTAATAAAGGTTTCTCGATCTTACAATATAAATTGAGATGTTAAATCTTTATCTTTATCTTATAGGTAAAGGAGATACAACTGGCCAACGACCAGTTTATTGCAAATATCGCTAATGGCGTCAATAAGGTTAGTCAAGTCTTGATATAGTTTAGGACTTTAGGGAGAAAAATTTCATACTTTAAAACGATGCAGTCTAATTTATTGCTCAAAAGATTAATTGGCTTACAAATGAGATAATATAATGATATCTTGTATGTCTTGACTATTTTGTAAAAGATTATAGATATTAAATGCTTGATCGAGATTAATTTTTTGTCTTATTAAAGAGTCTTGGTTCTGTTCTAAAGCAAATCGATCACAATGATGCGGTTTTAGCAAGACAAATTAATGAAGCCAACATCACGACACGACTAACTTTGTTGACACCAAATTCAGGTGTTTATTTCATTTACTGTAAATAACGTAAAATTGATCTTTTCATTCATGCTACGATTTCGAATTTATACCATTTTATTTCCATAAATTATTAATAGTGATTTGTTTTCTTTATAATTAGTCTTTATTATTATGTTCATTAAAATAAGTGTTGCATAATCACTTGTCATTGACGAGTTAGCATATCGCTATAATTTTCGACTAAATCGAAATTGTTTAATCATTTACTTGATATTGATGATTATAATAAGTTACTAAAAATGTACGAAATTGTGCCTAATTTTCGTAAGTTTTAGATAGATTATTGCAACGATATGCTCCATTCACTACCACGTAGAACTGTGCTTTAAACCAAGACTACTTTATCTCAACTTTCTCCAGATTGGAAAGGAAACTGCAGTCTGAATACAGACTACAGATTTACTTAAATACTACACAAAAGTTATGATTACTCGTACTTATAGAAGAGCTACGTAAATAATTTTACATTTATCAGAACCTTCAATCAGGTAATGAAGGATAAGGGAATAAAAATTGCACCAAATAGGCGGCTTTTATAGCTTTGGCTCAGTCCAGTTGAGGCAATAAAAATCTTACTTAACTATTCATAGGTTTATCATACAGTAGTATTTCAGTCGTATGATTTAGTGTGAAAGAGAGCTCTTGGAAATAATGTTTTATCACAACATACTATTTCACCAATGCAATGCAATGTGTACTTCTATTTCTATTAGAGATAGTTATATCTCTATCAATTCATTACAAACTCAGATAATTAAGTCCTTGTCTACACTACTTATCGAAACTTTACCACAGTTTTAACTTCGAATCTACACTTTTATAATAATTTACGGAAAGAGAAACTACATTAACTCATCCACTACTGACTTTTCATCCTGTCATATATCCTAATGCTATTTGCATCGCATATTATGTGCTAGAACTAATTGCTTATAAAATCTCCGCATCGGATGAAACACCAATCATCAATCTAGCGTTGTCACTATCCAATGAGCCAGTAGCAGAAGTGAGAATTCCCAGATCAGTATTTCGGTTTTCTAGCCAAGGTATCGAATATTTTCAGTGATATATGATGTATTCATAATCATATATTCGCAAAGCTTCGTTAAATAAGATATAAAAGTAATGTTATAGGTTAATTACCTTTTTCTGATAATGTGCTAGCTAATTTTGAAGCATAATTTTAATTGATGCGAAAGCATTGTGAATCTATAGGCGAATAAATTATATCTATACAATTTCATTACTCTACATTATTTGATATCGTTATTTGTTAGTAATTTTATTATATTTTTTAGCTGATACTGTCACTGTGGTAGTACGATCGTATAATATCCAAGAAAGTTGGACCAAAACTAATACTAACGAAAATAGTAGCAGGTACCTCTAGATTTATTATATTTTGTGCAAATGTTACGGTCAGTAACATACATAATGCAAAGTGACTACTTTTAAATTTTATTCCTTCAACTTTGCTAGCAGTATTCAATATGTCTCATATTAAGCAATACTTTAAATGTTTCATTCAGCGTTATAATTTCTAGTATCTTGTCTTGCTCAATGTATCCACTCCAAGACAAAAACTTTACTTTACCCGTTCATTTTTATCTTAAAATAGGATCTCGAAAGGTTAGTTAAATTGATTCATACCGATTTGTTGATTTTTTAAATTGATTAAATCTAACTAAGTACTGTAATGACCGTTTTACTATTAGCCTCATCCACCCTATCGATGTGTATATTGGGAGAATACGTAAGATAATTTGTCTATCTAACTTCGATATTATGTTAATAATACCTGAGTGTATTTTGTAACAAACATCAATCTAACTTACCTGTTTATTAAAATAGATAACCTAACATTTATTCCTCTTTCACTTGAGATTAGAATAAGGAATTCTTAATGTGAAGATCTTGATTTTTCATATTAATCGTATTGATTAAACTTTATTAAATTAAAAACATGTTTACAGGCAATGGTCGCAGTATGGAACAGATTTGATAGGTTATAATTCTAGCACGGTACATTGCATAACCAATCATTTTACGAGTTTCGCTGTCCTTATGCAAGGCTCCAAGGTAAATCAGAAATATTTATTGATACCAGATATAAATATATTCGTAAAATACAAACAGTTTAATGAGAATATAGAAATACATCGATTTATCAAGGCATTTGCCTTTTGCATGAATTAAACCTAGCTGTAGATTATGGATTATCCTAGAAGTTGAGATTCAATAAGCCTTCGCATACTAGTTACGTGTAAATTGCATTTTAATGAAGGAACTTAAGAGCGAGATAAATTTTATGTATTAAATCTTTCATATTGCGTATTTTCTTTGAGTGACATTCTTCGAACAACACACTTTAGAAGACATAATGACACAACATATCACGATATTATATGTCCGGATTTAATGTTGTGCTATGAAATCATTGATCGTGTTTTGATTATAGGGGCTGATTGGGCCTCACGATACCTACCTCCGCTATATCACTTATATTGGCTACTCTATTTCACTATTCGCCTTATTGATGATGATAATGATATTGATTAGCAGCAGGTTTGTAAAGAGTACGATAGCTAAAAATTATGTAATGAACTTTTGCAGTGCCAGGTTTGATATTGACACGAACTATTACATAAACTATCTGCTCACGATTATAACTTGTTAGTCCAGAATATCTTGTTACTGAATTGCTTAAGATGTTGAAGAGAAGTTAGGGACTCCTATTTGGAATCTGTCAACAGTCGTAGGAATAAGAGCGATACATATATAGCAGCGTGATTACTGAACTTCTGATTCTCAATTTTTAAAGACAAGGCCCTCTAAGCAAATATATTATAGCTACTAGTTCGAGACACAGGTATAATCCGTAAATAGAGCGTTTTATAGTCTAATAAAGATGGTCATAACATCTACCTACGGTACGACACTAAATCCTGATGGGGACGAACAGTAGCATTACTAGTCTCTCTTGGGCAAAACTGAACTCTAACTTCATCGAAAAATCAGTCAATTTGCAGTAAACCTACATAAATATTAATTATCACTACTTGGATAATATTATTTAACTATGCATTTATTTACATAAGAATATATGATTTCATTCATAGCGATGTTCTCAACAAAGACCAAAATTTGTTATCTGATGAAAATAAGAAAAGCATTAGTAAGCAAAAATCACTGCGCGATAACGGTCGTGAAGCAATAGTAAGCAAAAAATCCATTAATGGATAGAATTGTTACGTTAGTTACCTGGTATTTTACCATAATAGTTGACTACTATATTATAGCAAATAAAACGAAAGTGATTACACAGTTAGAGAAAAACTAAAGCATTTACTACTGTCGCAACTCTTACTTGTAGCTAAGATTTTTGTCAAGAACTCTAGTGCAAGTATAATAAATCGGACTACTATCCCAGAGTTTTTCAGTCTCTATGCCAGCGATATATGGGAACTCGATTTCTCGGCGGTACTCCACAGACAACTGATTAAGTGTAACACTTTTCTTCGCGTTTGTGATTAAGTGTCTTCTCAAAAACACAAAAGAACTACAGTTTCTTGTAAACTTCACTTTATTACATAAGATTAGGTTAGCCTTACAACTACCAAGTACTAACTAGCTCCAATAGAACTACCTCTGGACTATATTTATAGCGCAAGCTAGCGGTTTATATACCCTTTGTTACAGAATGAATTTTACGCATTACAATTATATCTAGCCAATTAAGTCACAAGATAACAGTTTATCATCGCGCGAGCTATTCATTATTCACGCGTCTAATTAAAGCACCACAATGCAACTCTCACGGTATTACCTTAATTAGCGTTATCTATTATTATCACGAAATCTTAATATGAACATCTCAAAAGTATCAAGACAATACGTATGTAAACCTCTTCTACAAATAGATATCTTCAAAATCATACAATCTAACGTACGAGTACTACTACTCTCGTACAGTCTTACAATCACAATCCAAGCTATA